TCTGCATTTCTGCAATCCCACCCTTTCTTTCGTGGGTTTTGTGGAGCTGCTGGAATAGAAAGAGTGGTTGTCGGGGTACATTTTTATGAATGGCAAAAGATGGGCCTTTCATAACTGTGGTACTTACCTGTGCTTCTCTATTTAAATGTGTCAGTAGTCAGAACTTCAGACTGATGGGAAAACAACAACAAMAAAAAAAAGCATTTGGATTCCTTTGTGAGTTAAAAAGGAATGCCCAGTGGGCAGAATGGAGGATGTGGATGCCAGGATGGTTTGGGTCCACAGATTCTGAGACCTTTAACCTTTAGACCTCCTTGGTTTAACTCTGAAGTTGATGGATGCAACTAGTTTAAGAGTTTTGATTCCTATGAAGCAATATTGGCAGGTTTTCAAGAAGCAGCCTATCTCAGCACTGAGCTTTTATTTCATAGCAAGCTGGAGGGGTATAGGATCAGCTATGGTGACCCTTTCCTGCATCATTCCAGGCAGGCCTTGGCATGCTTCTGCAGATGAATAAGGATGAGAGCAATTGGCATGAGGACCCACTGACTTCATCTTGCTCTGTATCTTAAAGAGTCTGAACTGGCCTGACCTATGCCATCGGCAGTGTGTGCACTCTGAGAACCACTAGACCATCTTTCAAGGGTCTTGGAGATTATGATGTGAGCAGTGTGCACTCATATGAGGGAGGAACCCATGACTCCCTTGCATGAGGGAGGCCACGAGTAAGGGAATCCTTTGCTATCAGTGTTGGTAGGCCAGTGAAGGCCTTGCAGCAGGGGCTGTTGAACATGGTGCAAGGATCCTAGACCTCAGAGCTATTGAGTAGCTGAGTGACCTTGAGAGAAGCATGTCATCTCTGATCCTAGTTTCCTTATCTGGGAAAAGAAATCTGCTTTGTAAGGTTCTTGTGGGGAATAAATGAGATCATGAATATAAATCTCTGTTTCAGAGCCTGACATATAGTGGGGATATAAAAAATACTAATTCCCTTTCCTCTCATCCTTATGTTTTTATAAAATTATGGGCAGAGCACCGTTCAACAGTGACTTTCTGATCTGGGGGTCAGAATACCCTTGAGGTTTTCGTGATATCCCCAGTAGGGGACTCTTTGAAGCTTGCACTGTTGGGATTGACAAATGTTTTTGTTTCTCTGCTATTGGGGCTGAGCAGTATCTTTTATTATATAGTGACTTCTAAAAGCCGGTGTGTCCCTCTGTGAAACGTGGCTCCAAAATCTGGTGAAGGAGAAAAAAAGTACCTTAACCTCTGTTTGCACTATCTTGAACATTCTGTAATAGATTATTTATTAAATTCCTTAGATGAGGTTCTGGTTTCTTTTTTTGTTTTGACTATTGCTACACAACCAACTCCTTTAAAAGAAAACCTGAAATTTTCCAAGAATAGCACAGAAGTAAGACATGTAGTTATCCAAAATTCAAAAGACGTAACAATTTTAATGTCTCTGAGAGTTCTCTTTTTCTTTGACCTCTAGCCCAGTGTACTAGCTTCTAGTATGTTGGTGCTCAATGAAAACCTGATGGCTGTTTTCAGAGAAAAAGACCTTAACCAGTTAAAATTTGGCCAAATGAACTTTGAAGGCCAACCACTGGTTTGTTTCAGGTCAGTTACTGAACAGACRTGAGACTGGAAGCCACAGAAAGGCAGGCCCAGGGTCCCCCTGTTCACCTGTATCTTGTGCCTTGCATAGTGTCTAGAAAAGATGTCTCAAAAGACATATGTTGGTTCAGTAAACCAAACCTAGCATTTTTTAAAAGGTGACATTGCTTCCAAATATTTCTCTTTCCTAAATATTCCTAGATTTCTGAAACAAAATGAGCAGTGATTGCTACTCYAAACATCATTAGACAAACACTCTTAATTGTTGATGAGTGAATATTTGGCCCTGATTCTAATTTAAAGATGAGAGTTTAATGTTAAGTTTCCATTCAAAGGAAACTGCCCAGCTCTACAAGTCCATATTACATACATTTTGGTAGTAAGAATGTCCAGATGGCAATCTAGGTTGAAGAAGCCATGCAGAGTTGGGTTGTTGGTAATTTTGGAAGGATTTTAATTTGAGAATGACAGTTTACTATTATGATCCTCATTGACACTTCCGTGCATTTTAAAGGTGGACTTTGTAGAATCGAGTCTGAAACATTGGGGATTCAAACCCAAGAGTAGTCAATGATTCAAGGCTGTTGTTCATGGAGGAAACACATTTATAGTTTTATATGAAACTAAGAGTGAATTGGACCTATTAAGTCCAAGTGGACTGTGGCATATATTTCATAGAGTAAATTGGTGATATGGAAAGAAAAGATGAGGATGCAGTGTTTCCTATCAATGTAACAGAATTGGAAGAATGAAGCCATAGAACCAGGATAATAGTCAATGTTCTTTGAGGACAGTCAGGCGGATTCAGAAAACATCCTTCTTCACCTTTGACTTTTTAGTTCTTGWACATTTCAATTGAATGATTTAGACCATTGAAAGTCTAGTATGTGCAGAAGCCTTCTAGGTATTAGGTGACCTTGCAGCATTAAAGAAACCCATGGATCCTGTTAGTTCCAACCTCACTGAAGGACATATTCTGAAGAGCCAGCTCATTAAGCAAGCTTTTGAAGGGTGTGCGCTGCAGAGCAGTTTCCTGTTATTTGGTTAATGGTTGACCTAGTTCTATTGCCATATGCTTCCTGGAACGCATTCTAATATAAAGTATGTGTTAAAGCAAGACTAGGATAATAGCAGGAAAGTCAAAGCCTTTCTGAAGCAGAGACCATATTAATGCTGGCCCAGTGAAGGCAGAATAGTGTATGGATGGAAAAATGAAAAGACTTTGCTCCTCATGGCCATGTTTCCTAGTTTTGATTTTAATCCTCATGTTTCGTCCCAGTTCATTCTGAGGAGTTGAGTCTTCCCAGAATCCCTTGCACACAGGCCTGTACCATGAATTCATTTATGGTGCACGGGAGGCCGAGTTTGGTGTTCAACACCCCAAGTAAAATTTTCATTGCAAGGAAGGATTGGATTAGATGTGGCTAATGGCAGGTGGTTGTGTTTTTGTATTATTATTTTTATATTGTATGCAAGGGATTAGTAAATCTTTTTGTCTGCAGTTTGGATGGAGTCCAGAGCCAAGACTGAGGCTCCTTTGACTTATTTATCATTTCACCTGGAATCAGCAGCTCTGGCTCGTTCATTTAGATGGATGGGAAGCCCACACAAGTCATAGGGGCTGGTGAGCAAACTTTGCACCAGACACACAGTGTTTGTTTTAGCAGCTTCAGAATGTGAAGAATCTGTGGGTCTAGCCTGCTAATTGCTGGATATTTGGGTGGCGGTGGAGGAAGTTGTTCTGTTCTCTTCATTGCTCATAAAAAAAGTGTTTGAGGAACCTCAAGTGTTTGTGTGGCGGCAGGAGGGTGGACATCCCCTTTTAAAAATGACTGTAAAACTGTGGTATGGGCAGTGATTTCTAAACCTGGTTGATCTTCCAGAATGAATTCTGAGAACTTAGAAACAAAAAGGGATTTATTAAAAATGGACTTTTAAGTTCCACCACAGGAGAGGGATTCCTTAGGTTTAGGGTGGGAGCTTAGAAGGTGTGTTTTCAGAAGCCAGATGTAGGAGCCACTGGCCTTGAATACAGTGTCATTAAGCAAGGGAGGAAGAAGCAGCCCCATGCAGGAAGGAGGAAAGGGAAGAGTTGCTGTCAGAACTTGATATTTGCAGCTGGTAATAATTGGAGCTACGGAATAGGCTTTCCTCTTTTCTTCCCCAGGAATTTAGTACCTTTAGGGCACCTTAAGGGTACTGTATACTGAGTGATTTAAATTTGGGAAATGTCATCTCAGTGGCAGGCTACTTACTGTGCTCCACTACCACTACCCCCATCCTTCTCTGCCCTGTCCCTTGTCTCCTACAGTAGAGGCAATGTCAGCAGAATATCTGTCACTCATCAATTAGATTGGATGCAATTTTTTTTCAAATAAATACATTTGACAAAAATAAAGGGAAGTTGTATTATGTTGGCTTCTAAATATAAAGAAATTGCTACTGACCCCAAGTAAAATAATTTTTTTTTTCTATTAATGATAAGGAGATGCACTTGTTGACCAGGCTCACTCCATATGGCTTCCTGCATGGCCTGGTTTGAAGCTGTTGCCTCTGATATTAGGCCATTGCTAACTGACCTATTTTTTTAATCAGAGGGACCATCGCTACAGGATCAACACTAGCCAGGGACTAATAAATATGCTTGGTAGGTAGTTGTGTTGGTTAGTGCACTGAATGGCCATCTGAACCAGCTCGGAAGAACTTTCCCCAGAGGTTAAGAAGTAACTTGGAAAGATGAAGATTTCAGCTTCAAAGCAGTAGTTGTGGTCAACATACCTTTCTAGGATGTGTTCTGCATTAATCTCAACAAAAAGGAAAATGACCCTGTTGCAACATTGAACAGGTCAGACACTTTGACTTCCTGAGAAAAGGCAGGGAATTGTTTCTATATTATTACCTATCCCTGAAATAACTACCACTACTGCCATAAACCACCCTTCTGGCACCGCAGAGAGTGTCTATAGAGTACACATTACTAAGAGAATTTGATCTTTCTCCCCATTTTATTTTAACTGTAAAGGTCTCACCAGGCAAGAAGGTTATTTTAGAAGTGAAAGAGGAAAAGTGAACGAGTAGAAAGAATAAAGCAAGTTGAGGAAATTTGTCTGATTGCCAGTAATTTTTTAGTAACAGAAAACAGTGATCATGGCCCAAGAACTCATGCTCATGTCCTTGGCATGCTTAGAAGCTCCAAGAAGGGAGTATAGTCTCTTTAAAGTTATTTTAAGGAGTTGGACACTACCTACTAGGCTCTAATGCTTACCCAAGTTAAGAGGTTGAAGTGCCTCCAAGGCTTTAAGTAGCAGCTGACCATGTGGTCTTGTTAACTCTGAGATGTTGCTGAGTGACTCAGAGCACTGTGGCGAACGATTCTGTCCTGTTCCAGCTGCCCCAGCAGAAATCAGCATTAGGTCACTGTTTGGGCAGATGGTGCAGAGCCCATGCCACCATCAGGACTTTCTAAAGGACAACCTGAAATCACTGTCCTGCACATGGGATGACGTGGAGGACCCGCCTGCTGCCTAAGTGTCCATTTCTTACCTCCACCTTATCCCCTGTCCTCACACCAACCACTTGGAGAGGAAAAGACTCATGTTCTCATAATCATTTGCTCTTTGGATCTTTTCTCAACTGGATAGACGGAGGCTTTTGTTTTCTGCAGGAAAAGGTAAAGTGTGCTCAAGGTAGCCTAAAAAGTGTGTAACGCCAGAGGTAACTAGTACCCAAGAGGTGGGTTTGCTGACCTTAGCATGATGGAGGTAGCAGCTGCCTAGTGACTCATGAGCACTACTGGTTGAGTGAAAAATGGGGTGCGGGTGGGGTGGTCAGAAGGTGGTTGGGATTGTTGCCTCACTAGACCACTCTCTAAACTTTCTCTGTCTTTTCATGACTCCAGCATGTTTATGTAAATCCAAAATTATTTTGAAGCTTGAAGTGTCTTTCTGTTCAGTCGTGTGAATGTGCTGCCTATTTCGAAAGTTGATAATGACTCAAGGGTATCCAGCTCTCAGGATTCAAGCCACTGCATGTTGGCAATGATACTGGATCCTGGTTTTAAAAATAAAATGCCGGGATGCCGCCTCGAGGATCCAGACATAGACTGTGAGCACATTCTAAATCTTGATCCCCAAATACACAGCAGTGTCAGCTACAGAAAAAGTGGAAGGGAGACATAGGGTCTGGAAGGAAAGGCATTACTGTCCTCTGCAAAGTCGGTCTTTATGGACCCTTGAAATCCTCCCACCCAACCCCTTTGTTCTGCAGCTCTGGAAAGGCTTAAGTGATTTGTCCAAAGTCCATAATGTAGGAAGTGAGTTAGGGAAACCTGAAATGGAATCCCAGCTTTCTGCCTTGGCGATCCATGCTTATTCCACTACAGCCGTGTTGGCAGATCACTTCTATTTTTTGTGCCAATTTTGATTGATTGGTGGAGACTGCCTGGAGCTCCACTTTGAGGATTCTGGGCCTTGTCTAGGCTTGTTGGAAGAGACTGTGGAGATCAAGCAGAGAAGCCTGCAGTAGGCGGGAGAGGGTAAGTGACAGGCGATGGCACTTCCCCATACTTGCTGTCCCTTACAATTATGTGATTTAAAATCACAGATTCACTCCCTACCAAAGCACTTTCTCACTTAGTGTTCATGAAGACATCCTCTCCCCAAACGGTTTCAAATAAAGTCATGAGGCAGAGAGAATCTCCTTCAGAATAGCTGAGCCAGGTGACTTCTCCAGGGCAACTGGGCGTGTTAAGTCGTGGTTTGGACCAGTGTTGGGGTTCTAGCCTGGGCTTTGTTGGGGAGCCCGAAGAGATCTCTGTGCACTGTTGCTGAGGGTCCCACATGTCCCTGTGGCACATGCCATTCCTGCTGAGTTGTCCACTTTGCTTTTCACCACCTGCACCCCTGTCTCCACAGATGGAATAAGAAGAGGTTCACAGAGGTCAGAATTGCTCAGGGGAACACAGGGCCACACTGGAACCCTGGTGCCCTGATGATCACCAATCCAAGGCATTTCCCGAGCGGTTCCCTATCTGTGACCATGATTGTGAAACTAGAAACGACACTGGAGGTTATTAAATCTCCTTTTATATCCAGGGAAATTGAAACCAAGAACATTTAAGGGATTTGCCCAAGGTGACTAAGTTGTTAGGTTTCACAAAACACTCTCTGTACATTCCCCCCGCCCCTCTTTCCTTTCTCTCTTTTCCTTATTTATTGTGATGAGACAGATGAACGGTTGCTCATCAAGAAATTCACAGGGAGTATGATTGCCTAACGACATATTGGGATTTATAGATTTCATACTGTCAGAACGACGCAACTGTCACTGAGGAGAACTTTTTGGGTTATTCTTAACAGAGTTTAGTAAATTTAGAAGGAAAATCTTTGGTTATAAATTTTCTTGTAACATGACCCTCACAAGGTGTTGAGTGTAATTTTGGAACCCTTTCTGTTTCCAGAGATGAGCTGTTGCGACAATAAACGTAGAGGGTGAATGTGCTAGACTGGGCTGTGAATTTGTTTGCCTAGCGCAATGATAGGTACCTCATAGTTGGGTCAATGGGGACTTCATGTGTCTTTGGGAATAGAAGCACCTTCCACCAGAACTCTGTCGTGCTTCTCTTCTCATATGAACTCACAATATTCTGCCCTGAGTAGGGTTTGTGTTTAGCAGGGAGGAAGCTATGTTTCACAGGTAGAGCAATCTGCTAATGTCTAATTTGAGATGAGCGCTATTGATAACAACAGAAAAAGCCACTGTCATTTCCCATTCAGATGCCTCCATTTGTCCCTCTTGACTGGTCTGGAGAACAGAATTGGGGCTCTTTTTTTTTTTTTTTTTTTTGCCATCCTGAGCTCTAGACAGCTCCCCTTAGACAAAGTGCTGTGTTTCTTTGCAATGGCTGCTTCCTGTCTATGGTTTCCCCCCACCTTATTAGTCAACAAGGAGGGAGAGTTACCTGGATTTCTTTTTCTTCATTATTAAATTATTTATTCTAATTTGTTGTCCATGATGGCATGCTACACACAGAGAAGACAATTTTTCAAGTCACTGATGGTACACAAAGTATTTTCACACCATTCGTGTCTTCATACATGTACTTAGGGTCATGATGTCTAACTCATACCTGGATTTCTAAGTGATCTTGGTCAAGAGAGTGTGAACCAGGCTCTTAGAAAGTAGGCGAGGGGGGCCACCTTGGAGCTGGTGCTCTCTAATGAAACACTGCCTTTTGATAGTGCCTCCAATTACAAAATCATCAATAAAAATGTTTCCCTTGTTTCTTCTGGAAACTCCGTCTAACCATGAGTCTTTGTTTTGGACAAAACTGGGTACAAACCATTCTTAATTCCTTTTCCTCCTAGTCACCTTGTTGCAGCAGAATGATCCCCTCTCACTTTAACAAAAAGATTCTCTTTCTAGCTTAAAATATTCCGGATATGCTTTAACTTGCCTTGGGGTCATAGCACTTGTCTTCCAGGACTGATGAGTCTTGTCAGTTGCCCCAGGGTGAGAACTTTAATAAGCAAATTGCACACACCTGGTTTTGCAAAATATTGGCCTAATGGGGCACCTAGGTGGAAGACGGGCACATCCATTACCTGTGTACACACCCTTTCTCCCCACCCCTTTTTAAAGGGAGGCCTCAGAAATTGCTGCCCCCCCCCCATTTAGCTTGTAAAACTTTCCTGTCTCCTTGCTCCCCTATGCTCTGATGGCTCAGAGGGTTGTGATCATTAACGAGCTCAGGTTGTTGCTGTCGCTGCTGCTGTCTTTTAGATTTGAAAGCAATGCCAGTGATGGGATGTGGTGAATGTGCGGGGGAGTCTGGTTAAAAGCGAACAGGGCTGGAGAACTCTCTTTGTCAGACTGTGCATTCCCCTGCCCTTCTCTTTGATTTGTGGCTACCACTGGTGTTTATACAACTTGCTCAGGTTCTTCTTGGTTTAAGAAAAACAAAAACAAAAACAACCTGTTTCCCTGTTATTGAATGCAGGACACCAGGGTTATTTGTATTTTTACTTCTATTCATTCATTCAACCATTTATTGAGGGATTGGAGTTTGAAACTAGGTCCTTGTGCATGCTAGGCAAATGTTCTGCCACTGAGCTACAGCCCAAGCCTTCGTAAACGTTTATTGAGCATTTGACTACTTCTGAGGCTTTGTGCTAAATCTGGCTTTGGGAATGAAAGACCTAGACCCCACTTTCCAGAGGCTCGTAATCTAACATGGACCTTGGCATATGTCAGCAAGTGTAACCTATCCCCACACCTGGAAGTGCTGTGCTGTAATGCATTTCCTTTGGCTTCTGTGCTCTCTCTGATTGCTCAAGATCAGCTACCTCTCCACCCACCCCCACCAAAGCTATTGGGATGTCTTTCTTATCACCTGGTTTTCCCAGACGTGATCTAGGTGATCAGGATAGAGGATGGCCACCTTAAGAAGCTGAAGGCCACCTTGACACATATGCATATCCAGGCCAATTAATGGGTTGTGTTTGATGCTYGGGAATGTTTCATGCTTGCAACTACAGCTTGATTCCACATTGATCTCAGATTCCATCTATCATCCTGCTAACATGCCCACAGGATTCCTGGACTGGACTTTTCTCCATTGGTTAACTCCTGTGTCTCCTTGGATGATATTCTGCCTGAAAGTTTATAAATTTTGGTGATAGAATTTAGCCCCTCCCCCCTTTTGGCTATTTATTTATTTATTTATTTATTTATTTATTTATGGTACCAGGGATTGAACTCAAAGGCATTTAATCCCCGAGCCACATCCCCAGACTTTTTTATTTATTTATTTTTTATTTTGAGACAGGGTCTCACCAAGTTGCTTAGGGCCTCGCTAAATTGCTGAGGCTGGCTTTGAACTTGTGATCCTCCTGCCTCAGCTTCCTGACCTTCTGGGATTATAGGCGTGTGCCACCATGCCCAGCTAGAATTTAGTTGTTTTGGCAATAAATAGTTATAGGCTCTCTAGGTCTTGACTAAGTTATGTGTGACTTCACTTTCCAAATCCGTTGTCAGCCTACCACTTGTTCATGGACGGACCTCCAGTTATAAACCCAGCAACACCTGAAGTACCCTTGCCAGGGACACTGGTTTGATGTTTCCCAGACATCTTTAGAAAAACTCCTTCCTGTCCTCCTAGAGTTCTTTTGGGCATATACAAAGTCAACACAGAAAGTATCTCACCCACCTCTCTGCAGTCCTTTATGCCCACAGCTGTAGTTTTTACATTTGTATCCTGGAGCGGGGCTTACATCCATTTACGGTGAGGAATACTTGAGTGGGATGCCCACTCATACCGATGCACTTAGGCATAGCAGGGAGGAACATCAGGTTAGCSCACTGTGGCGAGGTCAGAGGGCATATGCTGTGATAAGGACATCTAGAGGTCATTCCCTGTCTTGGTCTTCTGCACTGAAGCTCATGTCACTTGCATCATGCTGTGACATGAAACAATATTGCTTCGGAGGGAGTGCCTGAGGGACTCCAGTTGTTCATTACCCTGAGATTACTGCCTTCTCTTGCCTGGAAACTTGCCAGCCGTGGTGAACAAAGAGGTGACCCAAGCAACTTTCTCACTTTCATTCTTGAGGACTAAATGGCATCCTTAATATCTGATGGTTTCCTCTGTACCCCTGTGGTWAAGTAGAATGT